CCACCAGCGTCTTAGGGGGAGCCGGGGACGGGTGGCCTCCGTTGGCGTAGATGGGGCGGGTGCTCGTGCTACCCGAGCGGGAGAAGGGGGGCTGACGCACGTCGTTGTTGTTGCTGAAGCGGGTGAAGGAGTCTGTGGCATGGTTGGCTTTGGGGTCATTCCAGTAACGGCTGTTGTAGGTGTTGGAGGAGGTGAGGGTGTCGTTTTCGGAAGAGGATGCGTCGGCATGGAATGTTTTCGTGGTGGAGGAGCACTTGGGTGGCAAGTCATCCTCCCTAGGTAAGGAGAGAGTGTGAAGGGACAGTCAAGGTGCTGCTCCATTTCCCCATGTCCCTCCTCACCAGGAGCAATGCTATCAAATCAGATGAAGCACAAGCATTGCTTCTTGGCCTCCTTACTCACTCGTCTTTGCAGGACCCATCTCTCATATTTACGGGGCAAAGCAATAGTGGTCACAACCACAATACTACACGGTCAGTACAACTGTACCTGTAGCAACCAATGAAGCTAGTGCTCAGGGAAGCTGTGAGAAGCCACCAGAGGGACACACTGGCTGTAACACTGAAGAAGATCACACCTGTCTCCCCAAAATCTCTTCATCACTATCCAGTACTGGGGGTCAGGATTCCTGCTATGTGTGTCCTATATGTTCTCCTATGAAGCTAGCAGCTTCAGGCCAAAGTCCTTTACAACGGCAATAGTGAAAAAAAAAAATCAGTTGTTGCCATTCTCCATTTGTTCCTGCCTTTATCCGGACAGATACAGACACCTTCCCCTGGTGCACAGAACACACTCAGGATTAGCAAGCGGGGACTGCCGTGTGCCTTTTTGCCAGCTATTGCCTTGCTGAGAGAGAAAAGTTTTCCTAACACCAGCATTCCTTAATCCTCTTCCTACCTTATCTCATTGGGAATCTCCTCTTCTTCTTCCTCTTTGTGTTTATTCTTCCAGTAAAACAGGGCCACAGCCACCAAGACAATGCAGACAACTAGCACGACAGCACCTGTGGCCACCGCTCCAGCAATCAGGCCGATGCTCCGGGGATGGGCTGTGAGGAGGATTGAACAGAGAATGGAGAAGACATCAGGACTAGGCTGTGGCTGTCCGTGAGTATTTGAAGCCACCAAGGCTTGGTAGGGGGGCAAAGGCAACATCCCTATTCCAGGGTACAATGATCTTCTGATAGAGAGGCACATGGTGGCTCACAGCAAACATGGTTACACACGTTACTGTCACAAGACAGAACCAGGTGGCAAAACCTCCCTTGGCAACATACTTACGTGCAATAACTTGCAGGTCCAGAAGGCAAGTGCTCGTTCCAATGGCATTTGAAGCCACACATTGGTAAAGACCTGAGGACACAGTGCTGATATTTCGGAGAGTGACAGTGCCCTGGACTTGGTCTAGTCAGAGAGAAAAGAAGGATTTAAATCCCTCCCCCGCCTTCATAAAAGCCATGAAAAGGCAAATCCAGCAAATAGAGAATTGTGGTGTGAGACTCTTAAGAGATAAATAAATTAGGAAATAACTTTGAGATGGAAGCATTGTGCATACACACAGATTAGGTTTTAAGGAGCTTACACTAGATGTTTCTTTTTCTTCTTATAGACGAGTTCCTGCAAATTAAAGCTTGGGACCCGTATCATTGTGTGAAAGAAGGGAAAAAAATGAGATATGCAGTGCCCTATCCCCATGTCTGCTTGGCAAATTTAGTCTTACCCTGCAGCACTCCTGCTCTTCCCTCCCATCCCTGCGCTTTGCATTGCCTGCTCTGCCGATTTTCCTCAGTCTTGAATTATCTAAGACTAACATTCTTACAGATTCTTAAAATAGGGCAAGTTAAAGGGAAGGAGTACAGCTATTACTATTTGGTCAGGTCACCTAGGTAATAAATCTGATGATTGTGACTTGGTGCTGGCTCATACCCTGCGCAGTCTGATCACAGCTTTGCTTTTACACACATCTGAAAGGCAGCTCCATCAGTAACATATGGGAACAGTGACCTCAGTGTGAAAACCTGGCAGGATTCTGGGGGATTGATTTTGCCTCCTTTCGCCCATTTTCCAATCTATGAGTCTCTTTTTTAGTTTGAAATGCAGGTGAGCCAGCAGCTGATATCTCCATCTGCGTGTGAACATCTAGCCACCATGTTTTCTCTCCCATTTGACTGGTCTCTTCTCCTCAACGGGAAACACGTTTATCTACCCCCAAAATAATGAAGTTTAAATGGCCAGTGGAGAGTATATAGTCCACCACAGGCTCCAGTGCTACAGGAATCTTTGTTCCAAACAAGTAACCATGCAAATGATGTAAGACACTCAATGAGCTGTGTCACTTCTGGCAGCTTGGACAAAGGAAAGCCCAGGAAACCACCTGGGAAGTAAGAGGAAAACCAACAAAATGAGCACCTTGTGTGGCAGTTGGGGGCAACTTGGGAACATTGTCCAGTTTCTCCCAGAGGTATGTTGGCCGGGGGATGCCTTCTTCTGAGCTGCAGGTCAGTGTGATATCGCTGCCCACATCCAGGGACCCCTGGATTCTGCAGAGTGGGGCAGAAGGAGGAACTATAATGAGAGAAGAGGGAAAAATGACAACAGATCAGGAGATACAACCAAAAAGCAGGGTGAAGGTCTTTTCTGAATGCATACTGCCAGGGAAAGCAAGGACATTGGCATGAGTTGAAGGGGGATAAGAGGGAGATAAAGCCTAAAAGGGAGACAGCAGACAAGCACCCTCTAAGGTTTGGGTGGTGGCAATACACAAAGATTCCTGACTAGCCAGTCAATCAATCAAGGTTGAAGACTATTGCTGACTTGTTCAGACCCACCTCTCAGATTCCTCCCTAAAGAAAAAGAAGGTGAGCCTTTCTGTGTGGCAAGACCAAACCAATCTGCAAGCAGAATTTGCTGTGGTTGGGTTTTGCTTTCATAGCTCCATAATGGCACACACTGTGGAGCATCTAGCATCCTTGAGAGCATCCAATATTAACTGTTGACAGGAAATGGAAGCAAAGACATAAAGTCCATTCTCTTCTCCCATTGCTATGCACAAAACTTATGTTCCCCTTAGCACTCCAAGTTGCTTCTTGCAATTCCACATCACAATTTTGCCTCAAAAGCTTTCCCTCCACTGTATTTTACAGCTCTATGATATGCCATTTGCATATGAGGATAAATGCCCTATGAACTCCCACAATACCAACAAGGTAACCCATTCCTCCCTGCTGCATATCCATGTGCTCCAGTACACACACCACCATACCCATCCACTAAGCACCATCATGCACAGCAGATCCCTTTTACCTTGTTCCTCCCCTGTCCCTCAAAACTCCAGGACACTCACCCAAGACAGTGAGTCCAATGACTCCAATATTCCTGCCACCTCGGTCGGGAAGATTGTTGACCAAACACTGGTATGTACCAGTATCTGACAGCTGAGTGTTGTTGATGAAGATGGAGGCACTGGTGGTTGGCATTGTCACAGCAAACCCCACTCTCCCATAGAACTGGGGTGCACCACCAAAGATCTGACCCCCTTGGTAGAGAATAACCTGGAAAAGAAAGAAAGGTTCAAACAACACTCTACAAGGGCTGAGCAAAGAGGGAAAACAGCAAGCAAAACATGGGCTTCCAAAACTAAAAGGACCAGTTCCTGAGAATGTCTGAATAACCATATTTACATAAAACTGTAGCCCCAGGCAGTCACTTCCTAGGAGATGTATTTTCTTTAAAAAAAAGTCCAGTAGCCTGTTTTATATTACTAAATATGATCACAGCAACACACCAGGTAGATACCCAAATCTTCTGGCATCACTGTTTTGGCAATACTGGTTTGTTTCATGTAATATTGATTATTCACCCGGCAGGATTGTAGACTGGCAAAGATGCTCCTCAGGTCTGTGAGTACTTTGCTGAAAGCATTCAACCAGTGGAGAGTTATCATCTTGGCTCACAGCCAGTAACACCTTGCCATGATTTGACACTGTTGAAGATCGCTGGGATGAACTGAAGGACAAATAATGCAACCTCCGAACTGTGTGACCTCTACCAACCAGCCAGCTTACATGGAGGTACTCAGACCAAATCCCTGAAGGGCAAGAACCTTTCAGTGAGGGATACTGGATCTCACAACAGAATACCATGGTGCTCTCATTTCCAGTGCACCAAGAGCCGGATTACACCTCTGGTGCTCCTTTGAATACAAAACCCACCAGAGATCCAGAGCAGCCATACTGTATCCCATACACTTGCCCAACTGCACATCCAACCAAGGAAGCTGAGGACACAATATGCACAAAGCACTCGGAAATCAGACTTGTGCAAGGTGCATCAGACTCATGTCCTTTCAACAATAGAAGGAATATTCTGAGAGCCACAGGCTTAGCTTTGTACAAGGACTCCATTGGATCAGTGACAAAAGAGTGAGGAAAAGAAAAGCTCCCCAAAACTCCATGCACAAGTGAGAAAGGACCTACCTGTTCAGGCTGGTTGGCGTTAGAGAGAGGAATGACCATCCAGATGACATTAAGGTTAGTGAGAGCAGCATTTGTAGTGAAGGTGCAGGGCAATACCGCTGTCTGGCCCCGGGCAACCTGGACACTCCCTGAACTGACTGACACTTCTAGAGGACACACGAGACCTGGAAACAGAAGGATATAATGCTCAAACATATCAGGTGGCCCCATGCATGCGCAATTCATGACAGCAGCATCCTGTTGCTATGACACTGCCCCTTATCAATGACTTCAGGCTAAAAAGAAATACACTGCTCCCTCAGAAAGATGAGGCTGCTTTTGGGCAGACCCTTTCCAAATGTGCACAGGTTGCCCTTTTAGGTGAGATCACTTTAATTTCAAACCCTCTGAAAAGAACAGATTTTGTTCTGGAGACAGGAAAGCAGCTATAAGAGCAGTCAAGCTGTGTCTAAGAGATAATGAAATATATTTTTGAACCCATTAATCTTAATGATACCCAGCATCACTGGAACAGAAAAGGAAGCCGTATTCTGAAAGTCTTTACCACAGGACAGGATGAGAAAATGCATAACTTCAAAGAAGGCACACAGTTCCCCCTTGACTTTTGCTCCTCACAAAGTCTAGTGCAAACATGGACACTTTCATCCTGTTTTGAATTTAAAGGGTTAAAAATCTAAATCTTTTCCAGACCAGCTATTTCTTTATAGCTGGTAAAAAAAAAGAAATGGCTGATGATATTAAAAGATCTGATCAGATCTAACTTATTTTCCAGTATTTCTGCCACTTGCTTATTTTCATTACATATAGGCTAAACAGGATACAAAGCCTGGTAAGTCCCAGCTTCGCAGCACAGCAACTCGAAGCTGCAGTGTTTAGACTGCAAGTCACACAAGGAAAAATCTCTGTACTTACAGCCAAAACCTCATCAACTGACACCAACCAAGTAACCATGACCACCATTTTGAGTAGCACCAAAATTTGCTAAGCCACTTTTCCCCACAACAAAACGCTGACTCCAGACACACTCCTACTTCCCAGTTCGCTGCCTTCTTGTTCAATGCATGTGGGAGGCTGCTAGAGGAGATGTTCAAGCTCTGAGGAAATATGAGAATATTGATGGAGCCTGGGTGAAATCTGTGGACTGCTCTATTCTCTTGCTGACCCTACGAAGGGCTGTCGGCAAAGCTTCTGTTTTCTGCTGGGAGGCACTTGCTTGTTGAAGGTGGAGCACTTCACAAGAACAGGTTTCTAGCTCAACTATGAAGAAGTCACAGGCTTGTCTCTCAGAAAAAAAGCTGAGTGGTCTTCATGCTTGTCTGCTGGGATGCTTCCCAGCCTGCCTAGTGGTACCTATGTTGTGTGCGTGTGTACCTGTGTGTTGTGTGGACCTGTGTTTGCACAGGCTGCTTGGGAGCTGGAATATCCAAAGACTGTGCAGATCCTCAGCAACTTGCTCTGAACTTCAAAACCCACTTGGATGCCACCATGTGCCATGTGCTCTGGATGTCCCTGCTGGAGCAGGGGGGTTGGACTAGATGATCTCTAGAGATCCCTTTCAATCTCAACTGTTCTGTGATTCTGTGTGGTTCTGTGATCCTGCCAGCATTCTCCTCTCCTCCCTATCCCCTACCTGCCTTGCAGGCTTCAAAGCTCCATATAATTCATGAAGGCTCAGAAATGTTTCAAAACAGAGACAAACAAAATGTCATTTTTCATCTCTCCAAGTGAAAGACGTGAGCTTCCTAGTTTGCAGAAAAACCCAGATCAGACCATAATCTGAGTTCTGGAACTTATCTGAAAATACACATTTTGGGACTTTCTGGGGAAACAGTTCAGCTTTCATCCTAATATCTAAGAGAATTAGGTGCCTGGAGAAGGAACAGCTGGTGAAAGCTTAATCCATCAATCTCCTATGAGGAGCTGTCAGCATCAAGCGGAAGGAAATAATTTGAAGGGCCAGTAATAAGTATGACCTTTATTACAAGGCATCTGCCTTTCACTTGCTACTGTGGTTGGCAGATTGGGAGTGGTTTTGGACTCCTAATTTGCTTATGGCTGGTCAAGCAGTGTCAGTAGCTGAAAAACAGAAGTGACCCATGTCAGCTTCAGAGATGGTTCTTACTCAATATGACCCTGATGAGGGGCTCTCTGTTCTGCTGGCATCACTCTGAAGGCTCTTCAGCCTGTCTACCACTATCCCTGTGCTAAACTGTGTGCAGAGAGCCACAATAATTTGGACCTTTCTTGGACTAAGTCCTCCCTTTAATATGCAGGAAACAGTTCTTCTGAGATGTTCAGTGTTGGTTTAATGAGATGCATCCCACGAGATGAGAACCAGTCCCTCAAATATTCATCAGTTTGGAAGAGCAGCAATCATTCTTCAGCTCCGTCCCTTCAAACCTCCACGTTCCCCTCCAAGAAACACCCACTCACTAAACTCCTGCCGTTCAAGAAAAGTGATAATTAAATGCAAGTATTCACTAATAGGAACTTTACTGGAAATGTGGTGTTTGCATTTTGCACTGCAGGGTTAGTTATGTCAGTCACTCAGGCATCAAGATGATGTGATTTTCATACCTAACTACCCTGTCATTAGTCTTAATATTTGCTATTAGTTGACTGTAAACATCCTGCAGAATAATAAAAATGCTAAAATAGAACATGCATAATTACTTCACTGTGATAATGATTTTCAATACAGTTGAGAATTTTCCAATATGCTTATAAGCAGCTCTAAAAAATCAAAGAGAACGTGCAATAATTTCCTCACTCTGGAAGTGAGCCTAACTTGGAAAAACAAACATTCAAGGGAGCAAAACTGATCACAGCACTGTTATTAACTAAAATAATCATGAAAGAGTCATTTGCCCTGAAAGCAAGTGGAGGAACAGGGCTCTTGTTCTGTTACTCTCCTTATGATGCCACCTAGCCCAGCCAGTGCCTCCGCTCTTGCCCTGCAGCCCCCTATCCCCTGGTCCCGTTATGTCCTCCCCCTTTCAAAGCACCACAGCATCCTTTTTAATCTGAATGTCATGGAGGAGTTTCTGTGAGGTGATACCAAGAGCTGAGGTCCCCAGCCACTTCTCTTGCTGAGGGAGCAGCACTGAGTCTAGGCCTGCAGGAGAAGCTCCCCTCACCCCGTGCTCTTCTCTTTCTCTATTGCTAAACCACGGCGCAAACCAGCTCCTTAAGTCTTGCCTTTGCCACATGCATCCCAGTGCCCCCCAGCTGCTCTTTGGCCTGCGGTGCCCATGAGGCAGGCTGCACTTAAAGACAAGGACTCGTTTTGCTAAGCTAAGTGGCACCTGCAGGGCTACAGCTGGGAAGAACACGAACTGCCATTTCTGACACATAAGCTTAGCCAGGATGACAGGGGAGCTGGGAGACCAAATACAGACACAGGCTTCCTCCACCAGCGTGAACAGGCTGGTGTGTTAATACAGCACTGGGGCGGGAGGGCATTTCTGCAGCACAATTTCCATTCCCAGGGAGATGGCTGAAAGAGCAAAGATCAAATTTGCTTTACAGGCTACACCCCTCTTCTTTACATCTTGGACTACTAGGAAATGTAGTGTGGTTACAATGCACCAACGCAAGGACCTACATGACTGCATCCTTACACACCAATACTCATGTCCTAAAACACAGTTGGGTGCATATAAAGACATAAGCCTGTATGCCCAGGAAAATACAGGGTAGGAAAATTCAATTAAATGTTACATGTTTAAACAGTTCAAAATTAAGAGTTGCAAGAATGTGGCTTTGCATTAATTAGAAATGAGGGGGAGAAGGAGGAGGAAAATTCAAATTTAGCATAACTACTGGGACAAGGATCTTTCAGAGCAGCCTTGGGAACAAGGGCTTGAATCACCTTGGGTACACACAAAGGCAAATATAGATAGACGCATACATACATCCCAGCCTAGTAAGTCAAATTGCACATAAGCGGTCAGGAAATCAAGCAATGGATGTAGTAAAGGCCCTCCTCCTGCAGAAGTACACAGTCCAGATCTAATGACTTGTGAGAGGCAACAAGAACAAATCATGGTGAAATCTCCTCCTAGCTTTACATTACATTACACCCTCTCCAGTCCGTACAGCCTCCCCCTCACTGAGCTGCCTAATTAGGCACTGCTGTAAGCAGCATGCCTGGAGCTGGAGCAGGGTAACACCACTGTCAGCAGGAGGAGGAAGGGGCCCTCCCTGTACACTGGATTCTTTGATCTGAGTTTGATTCTGCAAGTGGCTCTCTGCTTTGATCCTGATGCAGCGCGCTCCCATCAATAATGGAACAGATGCTCCATTTCTGTGTCGCTCTCTCAGGGAACCAGCCAGCAGAACGATGCTTTGGCTACAGAGGCTCTTCTAAAGATTCTTTATATTCCCAGGACCAAGTAAGCACTCTAGCAACACATCACTGATTTAATTTCTAATGGGATGCTCCTGGCTTTCCAAGTAGCATGCTCAGCTGCCTCCTGCATCCACGGAGGAGCCTATGCAGATGCTGCACATGGTTGTCAGAGGCATCCATGTGAACCATTGGCTGGGATAGGGAGCAGAGAGAGGCTCTTCGCAAGGCTGCGTTTAGCTTAGTGGTGCTGACCACAAAAACACTCTTCGCAGAGCCGTTCATACCACCAAGCTCCTCCATCGACTCACCTTCTGGAAGTCTCTCTCTACTTTAAAAGCCTTCCTACAACCACTGACAAGTCTGCAGCCTTCAGCACCTGCTAGTGGTGATCTCCTGATACTCATGGCATGAGGAGGCTGGGTTGCACGAGGTTGCTTAAACTGAGACAAGGGTAGAGGTACGCTCTGCAGTGCAGGCAAGCCAGGGGAAAAAAATATGAGCAGGGCAGATCGGAGATTGGGAGGTGTGGAAGGAATGAGAAAGAATTAAAGAAAACAAACAAACAAACCAAAAAAAAAATATCCCTCAGTTGCATCAATTCAGCATCTCCAGACCTCCAGGGAAAATGTGCAGAAATGTGTGCAGCTGAGGGCAGGGAAGGAATAAGGCTTCAATCTGTTTTATTGTGCATCCAAACATCCAAAGCCCAGGCAGCGCCTCTCCCTGCCTCAATGCAATTAGCAATCCTGCTGCCATGTGCTGGGGAAGATGCCTTTGGCAGTATAACATTTTGGGTCCCTCTTTGGAGAAACAACGATGAGGTCACTCAAAAACTCCAACAACAGGGTAGAAACAAAAA